TCAAAGTGGATTGTGAAAAAGGATTTCCATTTCAAGTTGTATGAGAGAGAGAAATCAGCAGAATGGTTTTAGTGTTTTCATTGGTCTCGTGATAAGAGTTTTAAATTACAAGTGAATCACAAGTGAATATCAGTCTTTCTGTCTAGCATTTCTTTTTAATTGACTATTGTGCAAGACACACCTCAAATTTACTTCACTTTGTGCAAGTTTTTTTTTAATTATTTTATTTAACTTTATTTACTATTATTATTTTCACATGAATATTGCCAGAGAAAGACCGAGAGAGAGAGAGACAAAGGAAGATGCCAGGTCCAGGACTTGAACTATGGTCAGCCATGTGGGAATTCCAACACCTTAACCACCACACCACAATCTGTACCTTCTCTTGTGGAAGTTTTAATTGGCTTATGTTTTTATATTTCTATATGCAATTCTTTTTAAAGTGATAAGGCAGTACAAATAAACTCAACCAAAGCTTTTAGCAGTTTTTTCCTATTTTCTGTTCATAAAGATGTTTTTTCCTTGGAGGAGAGAAAAGAGAAAGTTATTGAAATCTGAATTTAGAGTTTTATCATCTTTTCTTAGATAAAGGAAGTACTAGTTCAGAACTTGTACTAAAGGGCTTTGAATAAGGTAAAGAAAATTTGGCAAAATATAAGATGGTAGAGCAATATATTATAATTTTCAAAAAAATCAAAGTGCATCATGTCTACAACTTACTCTGAAATGCTTGAGAAAAACATGTGTATGCATAGATGGATACACAAAGCATGACTAGTAAAACAGCATGGTGGCAAACAGTGGCAGTGGCAGGTACAGGTAATATGCTATGCGTTGCAGTCCAGAACCACATGGGAGGCCCCCATTTGAGTTCTTGTCCAACTTGGAGGCCAGGTGTGGTGGCCAGTGAGTTGGGACGCTGGCAGAATGATAGTGAGCTTTAGATTGTCCTGGGCAACATATCTAAATGAGCCAGGTGATTCCTCTCTCTCTTTTCATAGTCTCATCTGTCTCTGTCGTCCTTAGCATGCTGCTGTGGTCATTTATGTCTTTTGCATTTGGCTTTCATTTCTCTCCATTGCTTGTCATTTTTCTAGATGACTTCAGTGCCTTCATAGGTGATGCTTTGAGCCTTGATTTCTTGATTTCCCTCTTCTCCAAGTACCTTCAACACCAGTCTGTTGGTTCTATGCAAGAAATGTTTCTCTCTCTCTTTTTTTTTTTTTTAATCTGTACCTTCTCTTTCTGTACCTCTCCCATTTCTGTTCTTCCTGTTCTTATTTTTACAGTCTGTCAGGTTTTTATTTACTTTACATAATCAACTAACCCTTTGGCAATTCATTACTTTGCACATTTCTACCTGTCTTTTTTTTTTCTTAAAGCAAATTCCTTTGGAAAGTTTTCCTAGAGTCTTCCAGTTGTATGTCTAACATACTGTATGCATTTGGTCTCTATTGCCCTAAAATAGTCTTATTATATTGTATTTAAATTATTAGATCAGTTTGCCATCTTCACTGTACTATAGGTAAAGTCCTTGGAGAGATTATCTGTTTTTTACTTTGTTTTCCCAGTACTTATTACAGGTCATACTACACTATAAATTTTGCATAAATTATCAGTGAATTAATGAAAAAATAATTAGAGGGGCCAAAATTTCTATACAAATGACTGAATATTGATATAGGGTAATGCAATGTAGGAGAAAGAGGGAACATTGAGAGTCCCAAGAGAATTTTTTTAATTGAATTCCCCTAATATTCTTTTTGTATTCATCTAATTAAAAGAGAATTTAACAATAATTTGCTAAAATCATATTTGCCAAATGGTTGATTTTTAAAAACAAATTACGGTCAGGCAGGAAAATTTTATGAATCAGCCTATTTATGCCAAAGTAAAATTAAATCTTAGTAGATAAGTGTGGCTAATTTAATTTGCAGAACAATCTACACGTGTGATTAATAGTTGGAATTAGTAATCTAAAAGCTTTTACTACTGTATAAAATTAAAAGTAGAGCCATATTAAATAGTATGGGCTCTTTAAAAATAATAAACATTTAAAATTTAGAAAAAAAATTCAGAAGTGTGACAGAAATTGATGAGTTTATTTTAATAATACTTCAAGGAGTTATAATTACAAAGATCCAGGAGAAATCAACAGAGTCCCCATTATGTTAAAGTGAAATATAGTAGGCACAGAGACAAAAATACCATATATTCTCACTGGTACATGGAAACTGAAAAAAAATAACCTTTAGAAAGGTTATTTTTGGAGAGTGAGGATAAAGGGATATTGATTATAGGAAAATTACAGATAAGAAAAACAACTTTTAGTATCGTAAAATACAGTAGGGTAAATATAGGTAACAGTTCACTGTGTTATAACTTAAAAATTTTTTTTGAATGCTTCCAACACAAAGTAACAAATGGTTCAGATAATGAATATGTTTGTGACCCTGATTTAATCATTACACATTGTATTCTTGTACTGAATACATTACATTGCACTGCACAGATATATACCACTACCTTATGTCAGTTTGGGGGGAAAAAGGCAAAACAACAGTAACAATAACAGAGATTCTACTTTTTTGGGTAGCTCCGAGATTTACTCTAATGGAAAAGATAGTGTAGTCACAGGTGAGATAGCGAAGATGTATCAAGAGGTCAAGAGATCATAACATTAGACATTAAGTTAAAGTAAGTAGAGCTATACAATTTAACCCCCCAAAAAAGCAAGCAGAGAGATCAGGGATGGGATAAACACCAGTAGGTAACGAATAAAAAAGTGAAAGGAGAAAGAAACTGAATTAGGCCTAGACATACTGAGGCAAATACATGATACAGATTGTAGATAACAGTAAGTTTGCTCTGTAGCAGGTCAGAGTCAGGAGGTACGAGTGTGAAACAATTGGGATGGTGTCACCCCGGGCAGCTGGGGGCTTTTGCAGCTGGCGAAGCTCCATGGCTCATCCTTTTCCTTTTGAAGAATTTTTATATCTCATAAACTAGAGAAGAGTATAGTTTTTCAAAACTAGTAGTTTTATAAAAAAAAAAAAATAGGTCCCTCAAGGCAATTTTTGATACTACTTTAAGGAATTATAATTCTTTTTTATTTGAAGTACTTATAAAGTTGTATGTTAATAGTAGAATACAGTCTGTTAGTGACAAAGAGGGTTTTCTTAGTGTCTGTTTAAAAGATTTCCTTATTCTGGACCAGCCAGTGGCATGGTAGTTAAGAGAACTGGATTCCACATGGCCTACTGTATGGTTTGAGTCTTGACCAGCAGATTGAAAAATATGCCAGATGCAGCTGGACACATGTGTGGGTGTGCCCAAAGTCCCAAGAAGAGATGGAGAAGAGATTGAGGCGCCCAGAGTGGGGGGGGGACTTCTCACTTTCCCTCTCTCTCTCTCTCTCTCTCTCTCTCTCTCTCTCTGGTATATGCTCCCTATGGCAAAACTAAAACAAAACAAAACAACCAGATTTGCCTTTTGTATTAGTTTTACATTATGTAGCTTTTATTCATATTTCGAGGGTTCCATTCTAATACCAGCCTATTCTAGAAAGGTGGCATGGTGAACATCTAAGCAAACCACCTAAGAGTTTTGAGATGTCAAAGACCAACAAATAATCTTCAAATATAATATTACTATTCTTAAAATTGTTAAAAGTTTAAATTAAAACAGACTATGATGTTGAAACTTTGTCTATTTCACATTATGTAATTATGATAGCATGTTCTCTCTTTTACTTCATTCCCTCAAACAAACTAAAATTGAGAGTAATTAACCAAAAACAATTTCTGATCCAGCTTTCAGCTACCCATAGGAATGATGCTCCGGATTAGAGATCATAACTAGCTAAACCTAATTTTAGCATATACAAGCAAATAATTTCTTCTGAAAGAATAACTTCATCATGAGAGGTACCTTATTTATAAGTGTACCTATATTCTCTTTATTCAAAACTACTCTCTTCTGCCTCGAAAGAATTTTAAGTTTGGAAGAATGGAGAAGGCATCACCCAAAAATTGTGAGGTTCATCTTTTTAGCGTTCTAGAATTATTTCTGTTAGAAATGATGAATTACTGATTACAATGAGTATCATGCCTATTGGTTTGATTTACTAATGAGTTCGTTTTGTGTTTGTGTGTGTGTCATTTTCTTCCAAAAACTTTAAAGTACTGTTAAGTATCCTCTATTCATTAGAAATAGCTATTATTTACTGTATTTTAAACTAAGCTTTACAAAATCACCAGGCATTACAAAGTCAGTTCTCTAATGTGTAATATGTATGAAATGGAGATTGAAGTATGTTATGTTGTATTTGTTTTAATATCATGATGATTACAAAAATAACAGCTAATGTTTATTGAAGTCTCAAACACTAGGCTGGGTACTTTGTATGCATTAAATCATTTAGTCCTCTCAACAACTCAGTTAAGTAACTGTTGTTATGTAAGTAAGAAACTGAGGCACGGATGGATTGAGTAACTTGCTCAAAGTTATTTGACAAAGCTAAAATTCTGTGCCAGGCAGTCTGATACAAAAGTTCCATGCACATTATTATTTCACTGTAATCATTAGTGTATGTATCCTATTTTGAGAAATATAGAAAGTAATCGAGCCTTGAATATATGCTGGAATCATCTAGCGAGCTTCGAAAGTGCAAGTAGACCCCACTCACAGAGATTTTGATTGAATTAATATAGGATGTAGTCTGAGCTTTAGAATTTTTAACAACTTCTCAGGTTGTTTCTACATGCGTCCAGGTTGAAACCACTATCCTAACTGCCTGTTGACTGAGAAAGTGGAGACACCGATGGGAAAACCATACTGTAACATGCTTATCTGATTACAGTAGGAGTAAGGCTAGTAAACATGTAGTTAAAGGTACGAGAGTCTTTACTCACATACAATATTCACTAAATGAATGACTAAATAGGTCACTATGGTATTTCATGTATCTTGTGCTGTTTTGTTTGTTTGCTTAAATACAGATGAAGCTCACATTTATCTTGAACAGAAGACTACAGAGAGACATAGAAGTACGCAGTCAGATGAGCAACTGCCTATGAATTCTGAAGGAAGTGTGTGTCAAGAATCTAAGCAGTTGGTTAATAAAGGCACAGACGAAGATGCAGAGGTGCTGGGGCAGAGATCAAGGAGTTTTCAGGTCATCAGTCCCTATCCAGATGATGAGGCAGCTTACTGCCCTACTGAAAAATCCAGGTGAGTGCTAGCAGCTTTTGATTTAGAAATAAGACTTTGTAGAACTTTTTATTCCTCCCCCCTCCCTCCCTTCCTTCCTCTTTTTTTTTATGTCTTGCTTTCATCCCTTCTTTACTCCTTTTTGGTGTGGGCTGAATTTCACATGTCATCAACATACTAGAATTTAGGGACGTTTCCAGGGTTTTCAACTGTTTTTTTCCAGGGGTTTCTACTGTTTCCATGATACTGATATAATGTATCTAGAGAACTAAGTGAAAAAAGCTGAGTGAGTTGTTCAGTATAATTTTCTGTGACATTTTTGTTACGGAGTAGAAATAATTATTAAATTGATATACATGAGACATTATTCATCACCAACCAAACCTGGCAGCTCCAGGGCAAATTAAGGCCAACAATGTATTTAGGCTTTAGTTAGCACCAATTTTTGTTTAAATGAAACAGTTCTTTTGGAAGGGCTGTGCACCCTATCATTTGCCTTTCGTATTAGTTTTGCATTCTGTAGATTTTACCCACTCACCTTGCCTACCTATCTGATGAATAGATTTGAATATGTGATACTGGTGACTTTCTTCTGAGATTAAAGTACTTGAAAATTAGCTATGTGAAAATATTATTAAATAACTTTCAATGACTGGTACATTTTCAGTTCAGACAAAATCACATTTCATTTAATGCTATTTTAAGTTTTGCATAGGAACTTTGACCTCTATTACAGATTATTCTCTCTCTCTCTCTCTCTCTCTCTCTCTCTCTCTCTCTATATAT